CCCAGTGTGGCAAATGAATTATTAAATGTCAACGTGAAAAGAAAAGTGCTCCATATTGGATCAACGAGCTAGCCTAAAGATAGATTCAGAGATGATGCAGAATAACGACAAACGTCAAAAATTAATCGATAGAACTCTTACTTACCAAAAATTGCACACAACAATATAAACCGAGAAAAATAACAACGGCTAATAAATAATGATATTAACAACAAATAATTATCCCATAAAACAATCAAAACTTGAAGAATACAAAATATAGTAAGTGATCCGTTTGCAAAATTAGAGGGCTTAAAGAAGAATCGACGATACTAAAAACATTACTAATCGACCGCCGGTTGACAGAACATTTTGGTATCGTCATTAATTCACTTTTCTTTTAGCTGTTCTGAGTGCATAGACCTATTTAATAATTCATTTGCCACACTGGGGGCAAGCAATGAATTATTCCCTGAAATTATGAAAGTGATCACTGTGGTGTACAAATAGGGACAGAATGTAAATAAACAATAATAATAAATAGGTTAACTAAAACTAGTACAATAACGATACCAAAATGTTCCAGGTGATGGTAGTTCTTACACTTATGTAACCAGAACTACCAGTAGGTTGACAGAAATTATTGACAATCAAAAAGTCAAAAAAAACCGAAAGCAAGGATAATGCATAAAATATCTTAAAGACCATCGAACCAATGATCGACCCGGGGTTCACTAGAACTTGCTCCGAGATCAATAGCGCTCAATAACCGAACAGAGTAAGTACGAACGGAGTAGTTCTGTACATACACTTGAAAACGGGTCAATATGATTTCGGAACACAACCCCACGAAATATTTTTGACACATGAATTAATAGACCTATTTCGCATAATTAGAAAAAGAGAGCTTAATTGTAATAAATACAAGTTAGAAAGCAATAAAAGATGACATGCGCGCGCAACTCGTAGGCTGCAGTGTAGCCATATTGTATTGTTGAAGAACAAATGTAGACAATACAAATCGAACATTATGACATTAAAGAAGTAATATAGTGTTAAGTGTTTTACGACGCCTTAAATAAGACAAAAAAAGAGATTTGAAGTGGATGAACATCGTTTGCACTTTTATTTTGATAAATGTTTCATCCGGCAACATCGCTCAATGAAATTTCAAAGGAAAATATCAAGTTTAATCTAACATAACCTTAAACGAAACTGCGGTGAGTTCAAGTAATATGTAAAGTATTAGTTTGCTCTTTGTCAAATTACACGTTACAAAGAAAGAAGGAACGATTCATTCTGAACTGGTCCCTGAATAAGAATATGACGAAAGCCTGTCACAAACTTGCTTCTCATTGGACGCTCACCTGCAACCTACAAGCGACGCGCATAGTCCAGGTAATAAGAGATCAGTCTATTATTTTTGTTATGAAAACAGATGTTCGAATTTAAAATTGGAATCAAAATATTGCTTTGTTTTGATTTTGAAATTGAATTAAATCATGGATTAACAGGAACTAGTAACAAATGAAAATAGAATTTGCCAATTGAAAATTAGGAAATTTAAAGGATCTACAACCGTTGAGATTATTGATGAAATTTTATAGAGAGAAAATGTTGACAAATTTAAGGAAATCTTGAATATAAAATTGAAAGTAGGTAAGAATTAGTTGTGTAATTTTGGACCGTTACAAAATGTTTGGATAAATCTGGATGAAGTCTGGAAGTCTGGAAATCTCTGGAAACGTCTGGAAAGAGCCTGGAAATTTCTGGAGAGGGTCGACAAAATTCTGCCAAAGGTCCCAAAAGACCTGGAGATCGTTTTCCAGAATCCGGATCAGTCTGTACAAGTCTGGATAAATCTGGATAAAGTCTGTAGAACTCTGGATAAGTCTGGATATTGTCTGGAAAAGTCTGGAAATCTCTGGAAACGCCTGGAAAAGACTTGGAAATTTCTGGAAAGGGTTGGAAAAATTCTGAAAAAGGTCCCAAAAGACCTGGGGATCATTTTCCAGAATCCGGATCAGTTTGAACAAGTCTGGATAAAGTCTGAATTAATCTGGATGAAGTCTGGAAAGCTCTGGATAAGTCTGGATAATGTCTGGAAATCTCTGAAAATGTCTGGAAAAGGCCTGGAAATTTCTTGAGAGGGTCGGAAAAAATTCTGGAAACGGTCCCAAAAGACCTGAGGATCATTTTCCAGAATCCGGATCAGTCTGTACAAGTCTGGATAAGGTCTGGATAAATCTGGATCAATTTACTGGAAGGAATTTAATTTTTTTTACTGTCTCATTTGATTTGACTATCGATAGACAGTCAACGTTGACTCCAGGAATATCTTATTGGTAAGATTTTTTAGCGGTGTCCCTGGCGCCATAGGGCGGCATATTTCTTTGAAGCGCCTGCCGCAAAGAAATCAGTTCCGTCTGGAAAGACAGTGCAGTAGATATTTTTTATAAATCTGATTCCTATTTGATTTGTATGGTGCCTTATGTTTTATTTTATATAAAACTGTTTTAATAAATTTCTCGTACTCCGCCCGTGCTTCATTTATTATTTTGTAGAAATGGTAAATGCCCACGTTTGAATTGAGAATAAGTGAAAAAACTTTCTGAGGCGTGTTTTTTACAACTTTTAGATCAAAATTTGGGTTAGTTTGGGTCAGTGTGTGCACCGCCAACTTTTCCTCTCACCAGCCGCCACTGATGCATACTACGCTTTGGTAGAGTCTCACCTACGATATGGCCTATAAGCTTTTGGGGTTGCTGCACCCGTTCACTTTTTGATTCAGTATTTCTGCTTCAGAAGAGGGCAGTCCGTTGTACATTCAGAGTAAGGACTCGTGATTCCTGTCCCCCTCAGTCATGCTATCCTTACGCTTTATTCAATGTTTATAATGGAAACGGTGTGCACGATGTTTAGGAAGTACGGGGCTGAGAGGGAGGCGATCAAACACTATAATACTCGTCAGTCGTTTCTTCTCGGCTTGCCCATACCTCATTCCCAACTGGTAAAAAAATCATTTATATATGAAGGTAAAAAACTATTCAATCACCTTCCAATAGAAATAAGAAAGCTTGGATGCTACAAAAGTTTTAGGAAGCAGGTTAAGGCTTTTTTGGTTGATAAGGCATACTATAGCCTCGAAGAATACTTTAATGAAAGGATAGTAACTGGTTGAGGAATGTTGGACCTTTGTTTTTGACAGCGAGTGACAATATATGTTTGGTATCGCTTCTTTTGTAATGAGTTAACTTTTATATGTAAGAAAAGCGAATGTCATTTTTTTTCTATATTGTTGTGATGCGTATTGTACAAGATTTTATACTTTTGTCTGTGTTTCATGCATTGGTAAAGACTTGTTTTTTTCTATTTTATGTTCTTTTATTCTCTGTTTTAACTGAGTAATGTTTTAATTTTTAATTTAAGTGTTAGTTTTAGACTTTATTTTAGTATGGCTTTGTCAGCAACATTTTGTTTTAAGACAATACAGCTATTTTTGACTTTGACTTTGACTTAGCGAACTTTCATAACATGCAGCTCGACAGTCGACATGCAGTGACATGGGTAATATGGGTATCAGTCAACTGGTCCCATTGAAGCCTATGTGTCTAGTAGCCAGGTCCTGTCTGTATAATTTTTTCATGATTTTAGTTTGAATTCCATCGAAACCAGGCGAACAGTAGTTTTTGAGTAAATCTTATGTGTTTAATAATCCCATTATTTTCAACAGGGTTCAAAAAAATAGTTTTTAATGATCCATCCATACTCTATTTAACAAGTAACGTTGGGTTGGGAGGCTTTAGTTCACTGGCCATTGTTTTACCTACGTCAATAAAAAAAATAATCCAATATTTAGCTAATTGTTTTTTGTTTGTAAATAGTTTGTTGTATTATCATCTCTAATTTCTAAGTTATCAGAATATTCCTTATATTATTTTCATTAAACGCATATGAGATTATTCGGTAAATTCTTTTAAAATCATGTTGATGTGTATTTATTTTACTTTCATAAAATGTAGTTAAATTTTTGTTTTTGAATGGTTTTATTTGAATTATTTCTTCAATTCGTGGAATTATTTCTATTTTCTACACCGTTGTTATTTTGAAAGTAGCATTTTATCTCGCTCTTTAATTGCTAAGATAAGACCAGTGGTAATCCATGGTTTCAGCAAAGTTTACGCTTAAGCTTCCTATGTAAACTGTTTTATGAGCTTATAGATTTTTCCACAAACATGCTAATTTTGTTTTTTTTTTCTTTCTCCCTAGACCAACTTTCAGCAAATAAATTAATAAATGAGTAAATGCTTATGCTGATAAAAATATTAACAATACAGCAGGTATAGAATTACACAGTAGCATTGCATATTTTCCTTGAGCTTTGAAACTAGAAGGTGACAAGTTAGGATGATCTATTGGTAATTATTCATTAGCTTTATGCAGCAAAATCTAGAAATTGGCCTGCAAACAGTACATTCCATTAAGTTTTTCGATAATCGTTGTATTACCAAGATCAGAGTAGTTTCTACTATTCTTTCAGTAAAAAAGATTTTACGAACAAATCATTTTTTATTTTGTAGCAATTATTCCCACGCCTTTCGTTTCTGCCACCATTTCTAATTTTCTTCTAACTTGAATCGCTTGGAAAACTGATGATTATAGTATTCACGTTTTAATCCATTCTCCATTGTTGAATTATTTAGGTATCATGTTGTGATCCTGTTTGGTATTTGCGAAGATGCCTTAACTAAAGTGATTTTGATGTAATGCAAGGTTTGCAGTATATTCTTCTTGATAGGAAAATAATTATTCTCCAGCCATAACAGCTGATTGTGAAATATCTTGTTTTATTTCAGTTCGTGGACTTTAAAATTCGGAAAACAATAATTAAATAAGGTTAAAACCTCTAATAATTGCAACCTCAATTTCTGTTCCGAACCAGTTTTAACTGAAAACTTGAAAAGTTGGGAGAAAAGTTTCGAGATGGAAGCCAAGCCAAGTCAAAGAAAACTATTTATTTTCAAGCAATTCCATATTAAACCAAATTACCGATTTGAGTCAAAGACAAATCAATATACATAATAGAGGTATTCTTTCGATCTGAACGCTGAACGCGCCTCATAAACAAACCTTGTGTGTATGTGATTACAATCAGTTTGTTCAGATCGACAGAATACCTGGAATATATATCACTTCCTAAAATTATTAATAAGGACATTGGCCATTAGAATAAACAACAAAACTCAAATTCAAAGTACAGATACATGGTAACTACTAAACACAAATCACTAACTAAAATAATTATTGAATCTTCAATCTTCCTTTTGTTCCACCCTAAATTTCGCATTTTCAATCAACATATTGGAAATCTGGGAGAACGGTTTGGAGATGGGAGCAAGCAATCCATGACGCTGCATGCCCGGCATCATTAGGAAAAATGTGGTGACCATGTAGGTAAGAAACATGTTATCCACGCTTCCGCCAAGCCAAGCCAAGATGCAGAGAATGAGTACTGTGATGGTGAAGTACATTCGTGGATTGGTAACTCTCATTCTATAATAAGAAGTCATAAACAGTTCGGTATTGACTTTGTACAAAATCACGGTGGTGCAAACGTCGTCGAATTCGTCTTGTTTATCGGCAGTCCACACTTGAGGCTTGAATAGGAAAGACAGCAGTGGATTAAGGAAGAAGTCTAGCAGAGTCGCGATGATACACATAAAGGCTATAATGGACATTACGTTTGGGTTGCAAAGCCAGATTATGGTAAATACTGTGCTGCTGCCTGCCAAAATAGCTGTTGAATGCCACTGCTTGTCCCACAAAAAAACACGGTTCAAAATCAAAACGAGTTCTCGGTAAGGTGCCATTGCAAGTTTCAGTTTTCTTATTTGCAGTTCGTTGTCGGACATCGTGGATAATTTGAATTTTCTTGGACAAGATATTTATCTAATCTACAAACTCCAACTAATTAAAATTCACAATTGACTAGTGTCAAAGTGCTGATTGTTTTTGTGTGGTGTTTTTTTAATACCCATTTAGAATAACTCCATCCTTATTTATCAATCACGAATCAGATGAAACAAAAAATTACCAACAAAAACGAACGTCGATTGCTTGCTGATACGTCAATTTCTTGCACGGAGAATACACACTCTAATGGCGGTTTTACACCAAACCGACTAGATGAGTTACTGTTTTGAAAAACAAAAACTCAACTGTTTTTGACGATAAAACTGTTTACACTAAACAGACAAAAATTAGTTGCTGTCGAGTTTTTATTTTCTGTCCTTTAACATAAGAGAAACGGTTGCAGTTTTGTTGTTTAGTTCAATTCAGAAAGTAGATGGGTGTTCATAATTTTATATTATTGATAAAGTAACCATCCATCCCGATTTAAGGCTCATCCTCAATCAATCTGGTAGCGAAGCACGCATGCTAGGACAATGTTTTTTAACGTTGGCATCCTCAATTCAATTTCGTGCTAGCATGCACGCGGACTCCGAATTGCATGCTTGCAAGCTGCAAGCTTTTTCGATGCGTGCCAACTTGTGTCAGTACATTAAATTACCATTACATAAATTGACAGTATTGAGAATGGGTATCAATTTTCCAGCACGCGTGCCGAAGTGCCACTTCGCTACCAGATTGATTGAGAATGTAGCTTTAGGCGGGACAGTCCCGACTTCGAGCTACTTTGTAAACCGTTGCTATGTTGAAAGTAGCATTTTATCACACTTTTCAATTGCTAAGATAAGAGCAGTGGTAATCCATGGTTATAGCAGTTTTCTTAAGCTTCTTATGTAAACTGTTTTATGAGCTGTAGCTTTTTCCAGGTCATTGCTTTTTCCACAAACATGTAAATTTTGTATTTTTTTTTCTTCTCTCTCAATAGACCAACTTTCAGCAAATAAATTAATAAATAAATAAATAATGATAAAAATATTAACAATACAGGATACAGGTATAGAATTACACAGTAGCATTGCATATTTTCCTTAAGCTTTGAAACTAGAAGGTTAATAAGTTAAGATGATCTATTGGTAAATATTCATAAGCTTTACAGCATAATCTAGAAATTGGGCTGCAAACAGTACAATCCATTAAGTTTCTCGAAAATAGTGGTATTGTCAAGATCAGAGTGGTTTCTACCATTCTTCCAGTCCAAAAGATTTTACGAAGAGAACAAATGATTATTTTATTTTTTTTTTTGTAGCAATTATTACTACGTCTTTCATTCCCGCTGTCATTTCTCTTCCAGAAATCGTTTTTCCTGTTTGGTATTTGCCAAGATGCCTTTACCAAAGTGATTTTGAATTTTGATGTAATGTAAGGATTGCAGTACATTCTTCTTGATAGGAAAATAATTCTTCAGCCATTACAGCTGATGGTGAAATATCTTGTTTTATTTGAATTTTTCAATTTTAAAATTAGGAAAACAATAATTAAACAAAGTTAAAACCTATAATAATTGCAACCTCAATTTCTGGGGTGCGATTTTCGAAAGCATTCGAGTACATTTCGTACACGAAATTTGACTGCTCCCCATTTAATTTACATTGCTGTCAGTCAAATTTCGTGTACGAAATGTACTGAATGGTTTCGAAAATCGCACCCCTGGGGTGGGATTTTCGAAACCATTCGAGTACATTTCGTACACGAAAGTTGACTGACATCAATGTAAATTAAATAGGGAGTAGTCAAATTTCGTGTACGAAATGTACTCGAATGGTTTCGAAAATCGCACCCCTGTTCTGAACCAGTTTCAACTGAAAAACTGGGAGAAAAGTTTCGAGATGGAGGCCAAGCCAAGTCAAAGAATACGAAATACTGGTGTTTTGTCAGTCAAAATATTGACAGTTTCACATATTTTACGTCACTAACAAATCTCAACATAGATTAAGGCCGGGACCACACTGGCGCCAACATTGGTTCCAGTGCGGCACCGGCCTTAGCCTATGTTGACATTAATTTGTTGTAACGTAAAATATGTGAAACTGTCAATATTTTGACTGACAAACACCAGTAATGCACCAGTATTTCGTATACTCTCCACACAAAAAGTCGCAAAAAAGTTCATCTTTCAACACTCATATCTCAAAGACCGTAATACCTAAAAAATTTTGTCCCATTTAAAGGTTGTTAAGAATTAAATCCTCTACAAAATATCAAAAAATGGGCAAAATCCATAGAGCCCAAAAATCCCATATTAGGTGTGCGTTATCCTTTAAGATCTAATCAAAAACCAGTACTTTTCGTGTACTAGTCTTGTGCTATGACTAACCAGGACTTATGTTCTGAAAACCAGTACCTACTGTACTGGTAAAATCAGTACGAATGGTCACGTTACAGATAACACATTAATATTGGATATCACATTCTTTATCTTAACTGCCTACGTAATGTCTGTTTTTTTTTTTTAAAGATAAAAGTCAAACTGACATTATGTTGGCAATACAATGTAATACAATGTAAAATTGTCAATGCTTTAGAATTTTTTTATGTAGAAAAGGCTTGTGTTGCCAACATAGTTACTAAATTTTTGACTTGGGGAATTATCTTTAAAAAAAAACAGATTTTACGGTTTGATAAATAACTTTTAAACCAAGCCAGAATTGGACCATAAATATTCCGAAGCCGTAAGGTCTATGGTTTCCATAATATCGTACCTGGCCGACCTTAGTGGGACACCTGGTACATATAGGGTATTTCATTTGAAAATATCGGACTTTGGTCGATATCTCGAAATTGGAGCGATATAGAAAAAAACTGAGTCCGCCACTGGATTGTGCTCAAAAAAGTGTCTCCATAATGTTTTTACAGTACTAAAAAAATTGATAAATAAAAAACTCATCGCTATTTTTTATAATAGGGGAAATCGAAAATCGCCCTGTCAATTTTCCTCTATCTGGTCTGGAAGTATGTTTTTCTTGTTAAAACACTCCAAATTGCAGCACCCTGTACAGGGTGTTTTTCCATATATTGACCCCCCACTACAGGGGTTATGTGAAGAGATATCAAAAATTGTTAATTCTAAAGTTTTGGGGTTTTACCTGAAATTTTTGAATCCCAAGTCAAAAACTTTTTTGTTTTTTTTTTAGAAATGTCAAATTTTGACAGATGATCAGTTTTTTTTTTACAACCCCCTATATACAGGGTGTCCCAGAATATGTGGGCAATCTCTCGGATTCAGATAGAACACAAAAAAATAACATGACAACTTCCTATAAAAAAAAATTCCTACTGCCCCCCCTACGAAGTTACGTGCCCCTAAAGGACGCCTCTGAAAATCGTTTTTTTGTTGATAACTATCAAAATACTTCGTTTAATTTTTTTTTTCTTTTAATATGATGGATATTAGATAAGATTCCTTAAAATGGACCCTTTCAAACACACTTGGCCAATCTAGTTTGCCAGGGACGGACTAGCTTTAACACAATAATGCTAATTTTTTTTACACCCTGTATGATATAGGCATAGCAATAATATTTTTAGATTGTTTCAACCTTGAACTAGAAAAAAGGTACTCTTATTCGATGTCAAAAAAATGAGCTGGTTTCGAGAAAACTCTGTTTTTGTGTATTAATGGTTTTTTATTAAATAATTTTTTATGTCGACTCAACATGAGATCCTTCTGATCTTATGCATTCCATACCTATTTTAATAAAATATTGTTCGACTTTCGACAATGCTTCAATATTAGGCCTTATTTCGCGAAAGTGAAAATTAATCCTTTCTACTAATATTTCCTCAGTTTTATTATTGCGTTAAAGCTAGTCCGTCACTGGCAAACCAGATTGGTCAAGTTTGTTTGAGAGGGTCCATTTTAGGGAGTCTAACCTAGTATCCATCATATTAAAAGAAAAAAAAATACACGAAGTATTTTGAAAGTTATCAACAAACAACCGATTATCAGAGGCGTCCTTTAGGGGCACGTAACTTCGTAGGGGGGGCCGTAGGAATTTTTTTTTTATAGGAAGTTGTCATGTTATTTTTTCGAGTTCTATCTAAATCCGAGAGATTGCCCACATATTCTGGGACACCCTGTATAACTTCATAGTTAGAAAGAGTCGAATTTTCTGATTTGAATCTTTAAATTCACTGATCAGTAAGGCCTACTACAATCTACATAGGTGAGATTTACGCGGATGCATTGTGACTTGCCTTTACTGTTTGTCCACAAGTTTTTTTTAGAGTGTATTTTTTTATAGGTATTTGTTTTGTTGGACGAGGAATAATCATTTTTGACAATAGTACAGGGTGCTGCAATTTGGAGTGTTTTAACAAGAAAAACACACTTCCAGACCAGATAGAGGAAAATTGACTTACATGTCATGGGATTGATTTTCGAAAAACATCGTTTGTCAAAAACCGTATCGCGATATCTTCAATGGTACCATTGATACAGGGCGATTTTCGATTTTTCCCTATTAAGAAAAATGGCTATAAGTTTCTTATTTATCAATTTTTTTTGTTTCTGTAAAATTATTATGAAGACACTTTTTTGAGCACAATCCAGTGGCGGACTCAGTTTTTTTCTATATCGTTCCGATTTCGAGATATCGACCAAACTCCGATATTTTCACATGAAAAACCCTATATATTAATAGCTCATTGGATAGCTCTGTTTTTGCTGATTTCAATGATATAAAGTTCGATAGATTTATCTTTAACTTTTTTCGAGAAAAAAAATATCTGTTTCCGTCATAAGAAACAATGTGTTAGAAAGAGACCTTCCTCATTTTCCTTACACATATAAAATCCTTTTCTAACACATTGGTCCTTACGACAAAAACAGATATAATTTTTTTTCTCGAAAACTGTTAAAGATAAACTTAGTGAACTTTATATCATTGAAATCAGCAAAAACAGATCTATCGAATGAGCTATTAATATATGGGGTGTTTCATTTGAAAATATCGGAATTTGGTCGATATCTCGAAATCGGAGCAATATAGAAAAAAACTGAGTCCGCCACTGGATTGTGCTCAA